GGTTGTATTCTGATTTTGTCAGTGGTCTTCCTTTTGTATCATTGCAGGGATTTTTGTCTTTTTCCCTTTTCCCAGTAAATTGTATTTCTGACTTGAAGTCTCTCACTGGTTTTGCTTTCAAACCAGAACAACAGTATTAATTCATTTCACTTTTCCTCCTTAAACCCCTTTTTTTTCTACTATAGTCTAACTAAAATAAAGTTGCTTGATTTTGTTTCATCCATATAGGTCTGTTTAATTGAGCTAGAGCAGGGGTGATTACAGCAGCTTCTGCCTAGGCTGTCTGTGGTGTCTATTTTCAATTAAACATAGCCAGCACAGAGAAAATTGTAGATCTCAAAGTTGAGCATGTGTAGTGATATGACATAATGGTTTATTTACAGATTTTTCTCTTACTCAGCGTTTTCATCTCCAAGCTCCCATTAAGTTTATGGCTGGAGGTTCCAGGATCTTGGCCATGAGTTTAGAATTCCTCTGTCAACTGGATTGTTTTCTGTAGCTCATGTGGGTTTGTCAAATCTTCTTTTAGAATGGGCTGTACATGAGGCAGAACTATTTCACACTAGCTTTATTCCAGCTTCTTGCTGTCACTCTTTATATACTTCTGAAAGCATGTCTGTTAAAAAGAGATACTTACTCTGCCTCTCTTTTTCACGTTTTTTCAAACATTTTTTGAATGTCATGGATATTTTCTAAAGACTTGGTGCTACTTTTCACAGTGATTTCTGTAATGAGTCTTCCAAGGATTTACAGGGATTTTAAAGTTAATTAACCTCCTAATTTATTTAGTTAAGTCCTGGCAACCTTAAACAATAGTCAGCTTTTCTGTTCCAGTGAGTATAATGCCGTTATGTTTTTGACTGTCTTTTGGCAACATGTCCCTTGGTGAAGTTTTCTGGGATAGTTTCTGTGAGGTTAGTGAGTTTGCTGTAATCTGAAGAGATGTTTAGCAGTGCCCAGAGAAATATGAAATTTTTGGGCTCTCTGCTATAAATCTATATTTGCCATAACAAATATTTCTTACCAACTCAGCCCTAAGAAGCAAACTGTATCCCACTCTCGGAGAAAATGGGGAAATGGAGTTTTGATGCCAAAGAATCCACTGCTTGTTTTTGTCTAGGCTAAATCAGAGCATGGTGCTGAGCACACATTGAAGGAGTGCAGGAGAGCATGGCTGGAGGAGCAGGAGGGGGCAGCTCCAAGATGTCTTTGAGAGGAGCCCCCGCGTGTCACAGGCGGCTGTGTTCTGACAATGCTGCTGCTGCTGCTGTCCAAGTAGCATGTGGGAAACAAGAGCTGGAGCAGAGAGATTGTCTCCTGCCTGTGTTCTCTTCTGGACCTGCTGGTGTCCCACTGTGGCGCTCAATGGTTGCCTGATGAATGTTTGGTGCCTGTTCTTTTCAACTGTGACAAGAGGCTTGATATGTCATAGTATGTGAAAGCTCAGCTGGAGATATCCTGCAGTGTGCTGAGGTTTAGAAAAGTTCTTTGCACCCCTTGCCAGAAAGCATGGAATCCTGAAGGCATCCCAGAGAAACTGTGTTCTAAAGTATACCAATGTCCTTAAATTAAATGAGTCTGTGAGATACCAGATGTGTTATACATTCTGTTCTATTCATCTAATCTATTCTAATTTAATAATTCAACCTGCCTCAACCTGTTAACAACAGTTCTTATATAGGATTTGACAATGCATTACAATCTCTCTTTTAAAGGGCATTTCACAGAGAAAAATAAGTCAAATATTTAGAAAAAAAAGGGCAGGGAATCTATAACTATGTGAGCACATATTTTTATTCATTTTTTATGTTTGCTCTTGATAGTATTCTTGCCCTATAATATTGCCTGTTAAATGTTTCTGAGGTACCTGTGTGGTACTCAGCAAGGGAAACTTTTTCCACTTGGATTTAAGAAGTAGAAAATATAATTGTCACATAATAAAAAACAAGCAGAAAAGAAACTTCCACTCTGAACCTGAGAAAAAATCAGGACAGTACTACTAATCACATTTTTAAAGTACATTTGCTTTCAAGTCAACTTCATGCTCTGTTTAAGGAGATACAAGAGCAGAGGAGGTGGCTGCCACAACCACTGAGATTTTCATGTGCAAAGATTTTAGAGGCTTGAGCCTTTCATGAGTGAATCAGTTCAGAATGGATGCACTCTAGGTATGATCCTACCAATCTAAGTTATTCTGTGATTTTGTGACTGTATTTGATTTTGCTGTGGATCCTGTTTGACAAGTTCTCTCATTCTTTCTATTCTACTCATGAGTATCAAAAATCTACTACCATGCAGTATCAGAGCTTCTCAGTGGACTTTTTGCTGGGTCAGTATTTTAATTAACTTAAATCATCTCCGTGGTCTGATATAATTGTACTGTGTTGAAGAGCACCTCTCTAAAAATAAATTCACACTGGCATCAAGTCATCTTTTCCTCTATTATCTTATGTCAATACTAGCCCAGTTAACAAATGCCCAAGGGCAGTGGTCATGTCCATATTCTTTTTTAAATCACTGTGCATTCCTGTCCTTTGCTGTAGGAACATGTTAAATAATCCTCTAAAGGGTCCACTGAATTGTGGGTTGTTGTAAGCACCAAACTCCTATACCTGGGCATGCCAGTGGATGGGTTTCTGTATATTCTGCAGGTAAAATTTCTGATTTTGCTTCCTGAGGTAGTTAATCATAAATATTACCTGAATGTTCTGTGCAGAGCCTATGAATAGGCCGGTGCCACTTTGCCAGAATTATTGAATTCCAAATGCCTGAGTGATACCTGGAGGAAATTGGTGTTAGACACAAATCTGTTTCTGCAAGAGGCAGTCCTTGCCTTAAGGAGACACCAGGTGATTCCATACCCCCATTTGGAATTGACATTTCTTGACTACTGGTGAGATACATGCAACTTCAAGCTGGATATTCTGTTTGTCGGCGTAGACTTTTTTCTTGTACTCATTTTTTATGTTACCCTACGCAAATGTTTGAGATAGATGGATGGATAGATAGAAACAAACACAAAAATCCAGAAACCTCCTTTTGGAAACACAGACAAAGCAAGAGTAGCACAGGACATTTAGCAAGTAAGAGATACTGCTTTCAGACTAGGTCCTAATGTGATGGGGATACAAAATAATTTACATCTATAGGGCAAGAACTAAGCACCTAGAGCTAAATGTGCAGCAGGGTGTTGGCTCTAAAAGCCAGTCTTTCAGATGTTCTTCCACATAGCATTTTCCATGTGGCTGGCACAAAAATCCAGCCTCGCCAACAAGTGAGAGAATTAGAAACCAAAAAAGCAAGGCTCCCAGAAGGTATCAAGATGCATGGGGAAGCCCTGAAACTGGCAGTAGAAAACGCAGGGAAAGGGAGAGTCTAAACTTATCCCATCGGAGTTAAGCCAGATTTCCCTGCACAGTGAGTCTTTCCAGCTTTGCTGGCAGCAATCATCTTAGTGTAATTGCTGGAGGGACGTGGTGGTTTTAGAGAAGGAAAGCCCACCCTTAAGTATTCTGACTGGGGAAAAAAGATTTCTTTACATTAAGAGCCAGGAGATGACTTTGTTTCTTTCACTGATTAGAAAAAAAAGACATTCTTCCAAACATAACTTCTTCTAGTGTATTTTTCTAGGGTTCTTTTTTTGTTTTTCAGTATCATTTAACTTGAGTCTATCAAGTACAGAATTAGGATGAGTTCATATAAAGTACTAATTCTACCTGGTCATGACGTTTCTGAAGTAAGATTTATGAGGAGCAGCTGAATCACATACACTAGGCATCTGTGTGACCTAGGAAGGGTCTAATAAATATATGTATTTATTTTAATTCTCTTTCAGAGTTTCAATCTAAATCCAGACGAATATCATGAAATGGAATAACCACTGACCTTTTAGTTCTCACTGCAACAGCAACACAAGGTGAGCATTATGTCAAATAACTATGAAATGATGACCTCTAGAAATACCTTGCTCTACACAACATTTCATGGTAAGAGCAGTGAATATCCAGCAGAGGACATCCTGCTCAAACTGAGAAATGGTGACAGCCAGACTGGGAGGTCTGAGCAGCATTTCAGTCTGCTGGTCATGGAGAAACATCTCCTGTGTGCCTATGACAGCACTTTGCAGTCACAGAGATTATTTTGCTTTCTTGTCTGGTGACTCTGCTCTTCAAGGTGGCCTTCTTCTTAAGAAGTGCATAGAGAAGAGACTTACATTTGACCAAAAAAAAAGGAAAAATAATTTGTGTCAAATAGTGTACTAGAATGTTTTCTTCTGTAAAAAATTCTGCACAGGAGCACAGCAGAGAGGATCTTGCTGCGTTTGCTGGGAATTGCTGTTGGATTGTCTCCTGAAGGATAAAGGTATGAAGGTTGTCCTACAAATCTGTAGCTCATGTAAATTCCTGGCATGGTTTCTAATACCTGGCAGGATACCTTAGAGAAAAAACTCAGTAAATCAAATTCCAAAAGCAAGTCACTTGCACTGCCACTAGTGACCCGTCCTGTAGGTGGGGGGGCTTCCATGTGTTTGGTGCATTCTTGGCAAGGCCGAGTTTGGAAGGGGAGACAACAGTGAGTGTTCTGTGGCTGAGCAGGATGTTCTCACTCTGGAAATCTCCCACAGCAGCTGATGTGCCTCGCTGGCTTTAGCCCACTCCACCCAGCCCTTCCATGGTGGCTGCGGCCCAGCATTGTCTGTGCTCTGCTATTTCTGCTCAGAGGTCACAGCTCCTGGGCTGCAGCAGACAGGCTGGGCAGCAACCCTGCAAGTCACTGCAGTCCCTTCTCCCAGCTCAGAGGATGTGGAAAGCAAATGAGAAAGTTCTGGTGGAAGGGATGGGTTGAGACTTGCTTTTGAATTTGCTTAAATATTTTTGAAATGCTCTTTCACACTGCTTGTGTGGCTGCATTCACCTTTCTGGTACATCTGGCTTTCCATCTTGCTGGGAGGAGAGACAGGGTCGAGTAATGATGTCCACCCTTCTTGATGTTTAAAGGGTTCTTGCCTGGTCACATTTGTAACCCCAGGGAGCAAGACACAGCACAAATCACACATATGAAAGAGATTTAAAAGAGTAAAGAACAGAGAAGTTTGGATAAATACACAAAGTTTAGATTCTGATCCAAACCTCTCTGGTTTGCAAAATTAGTTTGGAAGCATCACAAGAGCAAAGTCTGTTTTTTTCAGCTCTGGAGTTTCTGGTCCTGACAAAAGTTGGGAAGTGACACAATTCACATAAACAAGGAAGGTTTGTCTGAATTTTCTCAGGAATTGTAACAGGTACTGAATCAATGTTTCATTTGAGCCTGTCCGGCTAACCCCACTGTGTCAGGTTATCTGATCTAGTAGATAAATGGTTGCTGTATATTATTTGTGTTGTGTTAAGCTTGTCTCTTGCTACAGACTGAGTGAGGCCACCCTAAAATGGGGACCCAAACCTGTAAGAGATTGACAAATGGGAGATGCCATAACAACCCTGAAACCTACCTGCTGAAAAAACTACATTTCATAAGAATAAAATGATCAAGTTTCTAGCCCACTTGTTTTTAAGCAGTGTACCCTAGAAAGGAATGATGAGTTTTAAACAAAGACAAGGAGAAAAATTTCTAGGTTTTTAAGGTTTTCCAGCTTCAGACCAAGATCCAGGCTTTATGACCAGAAAAGGAGAAACAAGGCCCTTTCTGCTGTACACGAGTTTTTCAATAGACAGACTGGCATTAATATCAGTCTCTGAGATGCTGCTTATTAAAACTGCTTCTAAAACCCATGGGCAAGTGTGTCTACTGAACATTCCCTATTAAAGTGGAATATGGGTGTCACTAAATAATCTTTCCAGCCCCCCACTTTCCAGCAGCTTATTTCCAGATCTGAACTTTGGAGCTGACCTCTGTCTTCGTGATGGGCCAAACCAAAAGCCAGATCTGAACACGGCTGAACTCTGGGAAAGTTCAAATCTATCGTTTGTGGTTCAGGTTCAGCTCTAATTAAAATGGACCAGTTAGAAAGGCAAATGTCTTCAAACCAAACCAAAACAAATGTTTCACGTGAAACATTTTGGTTCGGGCTGTATGGTACCAAGTAGTGTTTTTGTCTATCACATGATGTCATGTTCCTCTGTATGAGCTGTTCCATGCAGACACTTTGAATCTGACTTCAAGAAGAAGACAACATGAATGGAAATGCTTTCATGATGTGCAAAACCCCATCAGCAGTCTTCCTGCCACTCAGTTCTGAAGGTAGGCTGCCACCTTTCAAACCTTCATGCCCATCCCTTCTAGCACAGTAGTCCAGGGTCTTGCAAAACACAGTGTCTTGCCTCTCTGAGTGAAGCTGATGCCTCATTATGTCACCAGTATGTGGATTAATGCCACTAATCCCTGAAAACAAACAAGAAGGGGGTGCCACAGAACCCTTGGTTGCATAAGAGGGCAGGGAAAACCCAGCTAAATCTCCTGCTCAGTGCTTCTGTTTATACTATAGTTAATATTACAGTGTAATAATCAAGATGGTTGATCAGTGGACAAGGGGAAAGCAAACAAAAGGGAAGGGAACTTGGTTTCAGTTACTGAACTGCTAAAGTGAAAGAAAATGAGAGACAGCAAGGAGAAGTGAAAGGGAAAGAGGGAAAAAGTGTTAATGCCCCATCTCTGGTGTCAGGATGTGCACCAGTAGCTAGAAAAAGGGGGAACACAGACAGGAAGATTTACTCAAAGAATCACAGCACACATACAAAAAGTAACCAGAACTTACTCTCCCTGTGGGCTTTATTCTGTCCTTCTTATGTTACATGTAAGTACTGAACATCAGTTCAATATTTTTGCTTTGTGAAATTGTGTGGAAAATTACCTAAGGTTTTTAGACTTTCTTCTGCAACCTAAGCTAATAATCCTACTAGGCCTCTTCTACTGGGATTTTTCACTGTTTTTTTTTTTTTTTTACGGGCCTGGACTAACTTTTTAGACGACCATATTCCCCCACGATATTTCTTTCTTTTCCTTTTTCTTTCCTCTTTGAGTAAAAAGACTTTAACCACAAACAGTTTTGTTTGAGGATACATCCCAAGTGTTTAAGTGGAGGTTAATCCCCAAACATTTCAATTCCTCACTGAAATTAGTCATCATTAATTTCCAGAGAGCAAGATATGAAGTGACTTGCCCAAGGTCACACAAAAAGGCCCAGCTGGGAGCAGAGAACAACTCCATTATCTCCTGGTCCACCTTTCACCATAAAATGATTATTCTTACATTGAACTAGGAGACACAGGTATGTGAAAAGGGATAGAAAGGGAATGGTATTGAGCTTCTCAACATGATTCCTTCCTCTCAGCTTAGATAAAGAGAATGAAAATTATTTAATCCATTCTGCATGAATACTTCTTGAGTTAAAGAATATTCAAGTGTTTTCACTCAGGAAGTTTTCAGTTCATTTTCACTGACGAAGTTGTAACTAAAAGAACAATCTAACGAATCATTCTTAGCAATACACTAAATTCTATTCGTGGAATAATTTTAAAGACACCATAACAACAGAAAGCAGTAAAAGACCCATCTAAGCAAAGGAATGAGACACAATATTTTTTTCTGCATAAGTTTCGTGAGGTTCATGAAATAGAATTGCCAGGAACCTAGCTATTACTTGGGAATTTTCTTTTAAGCAAGGAGTAGAATGGAAATAGATACCAGCTCATGTGCTACACATGACAATGTGTTGATGGTTGAAAGAATCACGTGGTATTTCATTATTGTGACAAATATGGCAGAAAATACATGCTTGTCAATTTGTGCTAATCCTGCTCTGAGTATGGAAGACCCAAATGCTTAAGAATGAGAAGCAGTCAGAGAATAAAACCCACCTGACTGTTTAGGAAATTCACCGTCTTTACTATGCCTTTAATGAAATACCCTGTCTGATTCTGCCTGGAATACTGGCATTAGCAAGTTTCCAAAATATAGACATCAAGATTATCCTTCAAAAATGCACTGACAGGTACCCACCATTGATAGCCAGAACTGCCTCAGCTGGAAACAGGAATGCACCAGTGCTCTGTGCTGGCCACTTCGGATTTTGGATCCTGACATTGCCCTTCACCATTACCATTTTTTCCTGCTTCTGGCCCATCCCTTTCTTTCCCTCTTCCTTCACATGCATTTATAGGTCTGCTTCACTCTTTCCCACTTCCTCACGTCCCTAGCCAGAGAGTTGAAAGGCTTCCATTAGAAAGATTGAAAACATACTCTGTATTAAATGTAACAGGATAGTAAGACCAGCAGGTCCATGTTTCAGACACATTCAATTTATATCACAACTGGGAATAAAGAGCAGGGGAAGCTACTTGGTGGGTTGTTGGAGGCTGTGGCTTCCATTTTTTTGTGGAACATGTCTCTGTCACTTGCTAAATAGGTGCACCATCTGGTGGTAATTTTGGACTCCCAATTCTTAAATTTCCAAAGAGCAGCAGTGGAGCTATGCCTGTGGTTGCAGCATTTATTTTTGAGTTTTGCCACTATCTGTCTAAAAGTCCTCAGCTAAGACAACTTTTGCAGGTACTGCTGGTGATTGAGTACTAAGAATTGGTAGGACTTTAAACAGGGGTTAAGCTTCCATGTCTGCCATGGGGGGAAGCAGGTATGGCTTTATGAGAGGACCAAATGCTCCCCTGCAAAACTGTATATATAGAGATGGAAAAAATTCAAACACAAAGAGAATTTAGATATTAAGGGAGTCTAAACTCCCAAGATAGGCAACAGGGACCATTGTGCAGTCAGTTTAAGATGCAAATCACCCTCTGGAAGTCTTTTTCCCTCTTCTTTGACCATACAAGGAAAACAGCCTTGTTCCTATCTCAGACATCTCAAGCAAATGCCTGGAGCTTTGTGATGTGAAACTGGGCCAAGGAAAAGTGAGGAAGGGGCTCCTTATTGTTCTGCCTTTGCTGTCTGAAACCCTTTAATTCAGCAGCAGAGAGAGACCACTTCTACCTCTTGTGCCATTCCCCTCAGGAACCGCAAGGCTGCACCAACCCTGTCTGATGGGACATAAAATGGAGATCTCTTCTGAACAAGGTGGCTGGAGGCTGAATCAGGCAGAATATGAGTTTCCACATTTTGGTGAAGAAATGAGTGAACAGGTAAAAATAAGTCATGATCCATGAGTAAATTTTTTCATTTTAGCAACATGAATGAAGCTGTAAAGTCTACTTGCAGCTCCATGCATGTCTGTTGAGCTTCCATCTAGAGATGGAAGCCCAGAGCCTTCTCCCAGTGCACCGGTGAGCTTTCTGGGGTGAGAGCAAACCAAAAAACATGTCAGTAATTCAAGGCTAAGTCTTAGGAATCATCCGTCTCACACAATCCCAGAAGAGGAGTTTGAACCTCTGCAGTGGAGAGAGCATTATAGATAGCAACAAACTACACTTGTGGCTAAAAGTAGACTCCTAGATCCACTCCAAGTGGGTCTGGGGTGAGCAGAAGGACACATCACTGGCTTGATCTTGCATGCTGGCTTTCACTATGACTTCTATATTCTGCAAACCATTTGGTTCTGCCTTAAAAAAAAAGGCTTTCAAAGCCTCTTTAATAGCAGTTACAATGGAGGGTTTAAAGTTAAGCATGTATTGAGTAAAAAAAGCATGGCTGGAGTCAGTTCCCAGTTTGAATGACTACCTTAGAATGCTAGATTCACGTTTTCAAGTCTCCAAATAATAGATTATAGAGTCCTCTTGCTTGCTTGATTTTTTTTTTTAATTTTCCTCTTCTATCAGTAACTATAATATTATTCTTCACAGTATAAACATCAGTGAGAAATAAACTACAGTCATGCACAATTTAATCCAATGCTAAAAGGTCAGGCATGATACGCACGAAGGAAATTTTGTCAATTAGAAAATGAGGTATTTGTCAGATGTAATATTTTGCAATACACCAGCCACTTTGTTAGGAAAAGAAATTGCTTGTGACTGGAGGCATGATGTCAAACTGCATGGATCAGTGATCTAATCCTGAATGATAAAATATTTGTTTGCAAACCAAAATGTGCAGATAACAAATGCTGTGTTTTTTGAGATGTTTGTACATGCCTCTCTCTGCATTTCAAGCTTTTCAATTTAGAAACACATAGCTCCCCAAACAGAACATATCCCTAAGAACAGAGGAGGAAAGGGAGGGATGCTGCTACACATGTAACTCTGAAGTCTAATGTTATGTTAGCCTGTCCTGCTTGGCGTAGAGGTTGAACTAGATGACCAAACCTATCATCTGTAATTCTAGGGAAGAGATTTTGACAACACGCTTAACCGCAGTAGTAAAGCTCAGGGAATCTCCAAAGTCATTAGAACCCTAAGTTATTAAGGCATCACACACCAGCAGGTGTTGTCCTGCACTCCCTGTCACCCTCCATAAAGAACTTCCCCTGCAGTGGCAAGGTTTGGCAGCACCTACCTGTTTGCAAAGCTGCTTTGTACTTAAAAAGTCAAATGTAGTATGGTTGATTGCCATTTAACTAATTGGGATTTAGCTGAGTCCCTCTATGAAATTCAACTTCACTTTCAAGATCTGCTCATAACCAAAAGCCAGGAGACTTTTTAGTGGTTCTGGTGAAACCAGTGGCAAAATTTCTACTGAAGTAATAGGACAAGAACTTGGCCCCTATCCTTTTGGATGATGCCCAGCCCCACTTTATTTGACTTTCAGTGTCATTTGCCTTCCTGTCTTAAGCATGCATTATGTTCTAAGTCGTTGACCAATAGGACTGGGATGCTGAAGTAACTAATGAGTCAGCATGCTATGGAACATTTGTACTCAGCAGTTTTATTTAAAAGTTATATTAAAAAATGACACTAAATGAACATTCATGTTCCTTGGAGGCACTTGGAAGTAAGGAAATGCCAAGCTTAAAGCTGTTATGTGAAGTTAGCCCTATGTCCAAACTTTGGTACAGCATTCAACTAAACCATAGCCTAGAATTTATATACTATCTTTTCCACAGGACCTCTGACTGACTCATCCCAAGGGAAACCAGCAAAGCAATATGGAAAATGTTACCCTGTATAACTACAGAAAAGCTAAAAGACAAAAGGAGGATTTTTGTTCTGGCCAGTGCTGGGCAGGAAATGATCATCGAAGACGCAAGGCCCCATCCTGCCCTCTTTACACCACACCTGAGTACACAAGTAAGACAATCAAATGACAAAAGTTATGAGTACCCACCCCTCTCCCCCAAAAAATGTTTCTTTTCCATTCTGACACGTAGATGGAGCAATTCCATACAATAAAAAGGTCCATTTAGTTTTGAGCCACGGAAACAACGTGTTAAACCCCATCCCCATGCCAGTCCCTTGGTTTTTCAGGAGGTCTGAGGTTTAGGGAAGACAGTGTGTTGTGCTATATGATGTTTCCTACCAAGCTGTGCAGTGTTATGGGCCTTTACATCCCAGAATACCCATGGAAGCATGTGAGAGCAGAGTTCAGGAGATCCAGAGACTTGTGTTTCCCAAGTTACAGTTCTTAGCAATAATTTACATCAGTGCACGGAACAAATTTAAAATTAAGTGCTCAGAAAACAAAAATGTAATTGCTCACAGTCAGGTATGTCAGTGTATTTAAATTTGAAAATGTCTACAGAAAAGCACCTGTTCCAAGAAAATCTTCACTTTTATATGAAACAGAATGAAACAAAAGCCCTTTCCTTAGAATGGAAATTCCAGATTTCATTCAGATCAGTAACCATCATTCCTCATCCAGCTGCAAGCCACACACAGTTCACCAAGTAATTGTATTACCATATTAGCACTGTGTTTGGAACAAGGATAGCTGCCTTTAAAAGAAAATCTGCTGCCAAATAGGTAAATATTTAAATGGCAACAAGAACATTTTAATTTAAGAGAATTTACACTCTTCTTCACACACATGACCCTTGAGGAAAGAGAAAATACAGTTGAGCTATACTTGAACTAAACAGTAAAACCTTAGAAAAAGACAAGGAAGTGGAGAAGATAAATTGAGATATATAAACATCTGTCTGTTCATTGCTGGAAATTATTATATGCTGCAGACTATATAGGCTTTTATTTCTTTTATAGGGAAACAAAGAAATAAAGCTTATAAAATTAATGTGGCAAACTGACAGTTTTTCTAGTAAAGTAAAACAAAATTTATTTCAGTCAACTCATAATTTGCAAATGGTACTGTCCATTTATGTTTGTCTTTTCCTCTGTGATTTACAGTGGGTTTTGAAAACATTACTAAGGCCTCTCTGAATCATGTTGAGGTTCTGATATCTAAGATATTTTTAAAGCACAGAGAAATTTCACTGACAAATGTTCAAATTGATTCACCAAGCTGAGAATCCTCCATCCTGTCAAAATAGGATGTTTCTTTAAAACAACAGTACTTTGTTAGAATAAAAAGATAATTTTCTTTTCCTGAAATTATCCAAGTAACAGACATTAAGAGTCTCAACCTACCACTCCCACAATAACCTGTCTCCTCAGTTAAAGAATTACAATTTCTTAGCACCTTAAGGGTTTCATAACTTTTTTACTGCTCCTTCACAACCTCAGCTAGCGCCAACTGGGAGGGTTTATTTTCTTATTCTGGTTTGGGTTACTGTCTTAGTTTGTTACTTGTGATAGTGAAAAGCTTATCCAGCCTTCCACAGTAAGGAAGCATGAACAGTGTGAATCAACTCCTCAATGAAAATGCAAACTGAAATGCCCTCTCACACACTTTGCCTTGTTATTGCTCTGTGCTCACACCTTTTTCCCTGCTGAGCTTTCAGCTGAGGTGGAGGGCACTGAGGAAACTGCTCTGCATCTGGAATAGCCACACCAGAATCCTTGTGCAGCAATGTGTAGCTAATGAGTGACAACAAATAGACTGGACCTTCTTAAGGTTAAAGATGCTTTAGTTTCTTCTTCCAGCAACAGCGTGCCAGTTGTGAAAATAAAGGTGCTGTTTGAGACATTTTAAGAGGAGGCTTTGCAATGGCTGTTTGCAGGGTGGTAAATCTTTCCTGCAAAATGAACATGTGGAGGAATTCCACAGATTTTTGGGGGTTTTATCTCTTTGCTGCCTGCTTCTACCTGTCAGCCACTTACCTAGCTGCTAGGGCTGGAGGTTCATCATGCATGTCTTTTTATTTATTTATTTTCATTCAGGCTAATAATGAGAAAACTCTCTCTCTCCAAACAACCCAAAATTATACATCTTGTGATGCACCACTCTGCTTCTATTAAGCGTTATGCTTGCTTAAACCACAGATCATTACATTTGCCATGGTATTCATAGTTCAAAAAATCAAACAGGCAAATGCAATGACTCCACATGGCATCTTGGGAAATGGACACCAGCAGTCACTCAAATTTGGCTACATGAGCAATAAAGACACAGTTTGTATTGGTCCTACATCATCTGTGGAGCTGCACACATGCTCAGTACAGATTGCAGCCAATTGAGTGCATCTGTGCACCTTTCTCCTGGAACCCCAGCCAGCCTGCTGTACCAGGAGCTGAAAGCTGATGGCATGCCCTGAGAAGCCACCCCTCACACTGGAGGGTTTTTACTATATCCTAGCACCAATGGAGAAATCCAGTTCAAATTACTGAAAACAAATTTATTTCTGCTCTGTTGCTTGAATGCTCAAATGCTTGTCTGGGCCCATGCTAAACTACAACAAGAAACCCCAAATTTTTCCACATTAGGTCCAAAAGCCACTGTGCAATTGAGGTTCTCATAGCTGACAAATGCCTAAACCAATCATAGCACCTACTGCTATGACAAAGATAATTACTGCCTTTCCATCAGTGAAGTGTGTACCCTGCTCTGTATCATATTTAAAATAATCTAATTCCAGATCATTTTCCTCCTCCAAATTGTTTCCAGCTGTACAATTCCTTTTTTCCCCCCATATTGTTTTTATTGGATATAGCGCAAGTTCGTAAAGATAGATTTTCCCATAATAAATACACAGATGTTAGAATAATAAACATACAGTCAACCTGATATATGAATATTACTAAGCCTTAACAAACATATAACAAACAACATAAATTGATTTTAAAAAATTGAAAATGAGAACATAAAGTAGCAGAGAAAGAAATGGCAGGAGAAAATAAAGGCAAAAAGTGAGCTAGAAATGTACTTACTTTAGCAAACTGTCTGGATTCATTTATGGCTCCCTTTATTGACTTGCTGATAGCATTAAAGCACAGCTATGGTTGTAAAGCATTCCTAAGAATGCCGCCTGTCTTCATGCATCGCAAGTTTTCTGCTCCCACTGAAAGCCAAGCCTTCCAAGCTGGCCAGCTCATACCACACTAGACACTACTGTGCTAGATTAATCCATCTGCTTGGACCCAAATATCCATTTTTGGAGAATAATGAGCCTCTCTACTCCTCCCATTTTTGGTAGGAAGCTTTTATGAACATTTGGCATCTCAGTGAAACCATCATCATAGCCCAGAATAAAAATTACTGGATTCATATGTGGAATCCAAATTTAATTAAGCCTATATATGGCCTGAACAAAGAATAATTTACTGGCTGACACCCCCTCAGCATGTATGATAAGATGCCAACTGCTCCTCCATGACACCATCCCTTGGATATCTTTCATGCCCAATTCCAAAGTTTTTTTAGGCCTGCAGCTGAAACATGGGATCAAGAGAGGACTGGCAATGTTACCTGTTTCCAGTACAAAGAGAGCAGGAATCACAGTTGTTTATGGGTATCTCTCCTTCAGAAGTTGTCCCCCTCCCCTTCCCAGTCTTCTGTTTGGAATTATGCATCCTCTTCCCAGTTTATGTGTGCACATGTACAAGTGCATGCTTGTAGAGAACTGTGACATTGAAGTTTATGTTCTGATTGTGTTTGCAAAAGTCTTCTTCACCTGGGAGTTAATAAAATCCATGCACAGATTTTGTTTGTTGCTTAAACTGTAGGGTTTTTCTCCTATCCCTCCCCCTTTCTGCCTGGGGAGTGGATCAAAAGTTAAGTAAATGGGAAGAAAGATGTTCTTCTAAACCTCCCCTGGCAAGCAGAGCTGTAACTTCCTTTCAGATGCATCCTTTCAACACACCAAAAAAAAAAAAAAAAAAAAAAAAGGAAAGGCAAAAAAAAAAAAAAAAAAAAAAAAAAAAACACAACTGCAGAACTCTCTTGGGTTTGGCCTATTTGTTAATATTTCCCTGTCGGGTGTCCAATTTAATGATTTTCCAAATCACTGCACCAGTGACACAGACAAATATTGCTAAGTCATGCTCATTTTCCACATCATGAGTCTGAGAATGGAGACAGGTACAGATCACTTTGGGTATCTTGACAGATATATTTTTCAAAACACCAAAACAACTCAGTTTTGCCCTGGATTTAGCAGTGGTAAGAGCTGCCTGTTCATAAGCACTTCAGTTTAAAGGATTCCAGTGGAAAGGGTCAATGCACAAATAATTAGCCAGAATAATCCACTGTCAAAGAACACCAGCAGGTTTCATTTCTGTTATTGATTCAGACTTCATACTACAGAGCCTGCACTGGTTGCTTTCCTGGGGGGGAGTTCTTTGCTTTCAATGCTATTAATGATCTGCAGCCTCCAGAGGCATGTGAGTGACAAATTGCTCTGGCCATCATTTGGGGGAATAGAGACCTAGTGTTGGAGCTCTCTTGTATCAATAACCTGATAGGACGAGAGGCTTTTCTCTTCCAGATCAGGGTCCTCACTTCCAAAATGTTAGAAGGACAATTATCTTTCAACAGTGACTACCAGTAATAACATTTGATGTATAATTACTTTTTAATTAGTTTAAAAAGATCTAATTTTTAATGTTTAAATTCATTTGTTTAAGAGGCAATCTTTGAAGAGGCTTAAAGCAAGAAGAATGAGTGGAGAGTACAGAAGAGTATGGGAGAAGCTGGCCTGAAAACTAGGGATGAGCACAGGAAGGTGACAAATACAACAATGTACAAGGACAGCATGAGTAAAGTAACTGCAAGACTGACTTTCTCTGGGGATGGCATGACTATGGAAGAGTTCCCAGCTATAAATATATCAAAATAAGCTATGCATACACAGTGCTTGGCAAATTCATCCCATGCTACAGCCTTTGTTCATGCTAGTAATTTAGATTTCTCTGTCACTTTTATGTCTGGCTGCCGTAAATCTTCCACACCAACCTGAATGCTCCATGATTTCTACAACTGTTATTCCATCCTCTGGACTGTTTCAATTGTTTTTAATATAGATTCCATGTACTGTATTGGTGATGCAGCCCTCATTCACTGAAGTACCTCTTTGAATAAATAACTCCTTATTGAACCATCCTAGAGCTTAGCTAATAAACTGAGGACTTCTCCTGGCACAGTAGGATCCCTAGAAATTACAAGGGGGGACATGTGTCCCTGTGTCATGTCTTCTGGCTTGGTGGTGGATGGCAGACATGCATAGCTGGAACTATAAAGGCACCCAAGAGGTGATGGTAGAAACAGATGTACATCTGTTGGAGAAACCTCACCTTGGGTGAGTCTGCTTTGAATTCTGAAGGGGGAATGTTGTATCAAAATACAGATTAGAATAGCCATAAATCTCTACTTGTCAGTGTGGTGGTAGAGTCCTCATCAGTGGCTGTAGGTCCTCTCCTTCCCAATAGTTAATATGTCATCACTGCTCACTTTCCCTCCCTACCCTAATACCTGAGAAACTCACCTTCAGTGTTCATCTTGCCAGGGGGTTCTGGGACAAAGCTTTCCTTTGGGGTGAAGTGAAAAAGATGCCTGTCTTTTTTTAGTTTTAGTCCTTTCCTCAGTGTGTTCAGGAGCAGCCAAATGGCTGGTTTAGTGTTTCTGGGTCAGACACAGGTGTGTTCATCGGTGCTGCGATGCCCGACGCGCGGGGAGAATTATGTGCAGGACTCCAGTGACCTCAGAAGGCTAATTAATTACTTTATTATACTATAACTGTATTACACTATATTACACACTACCAGGAGCTATCACTAACTAACTATATCTAATAAGAAAAACTTATGATACTCTGCAGAGTCCTGACACACACATGAATGCAGTTGGTCAACAAATCCAAACACCATCACCAGAATCTGACCAAGCAATCACCTTGGGTAAGCAATCTCCAGAGCACATTCCACATGGGCACAAACACAGGAGCAGCCAATGAGATAAGAATTGTTTTCATTCTCCTTTCTCTGCTCCTCTCATGAGAAACCCTGAGAAAGGTAAGTGTCTCTCTGTTCAGAGGGCATGTGAATACCACATGTGTTTAGTTACACATGTGAATATTGTGCTTAGAAATATCTTGTATTTTTAAGTAGATGGGGGTTTAAATCTTTGTCCATTTTTTACCTTTTTCCCCCTTGCTAATGTAATAACACTACTTCCTAAACCCTATCCTTTTCATAGGTACTGACCTCATCATCTCTGGGTGCTACTCCAGTAATAAAAAAAATAAAGACTTGTGGATTATGGGATCTTTATAGACCTGCATGGAACTAATCTGGCTCGGCTGGAAGGGGTCATGTAAACCTGCTGCAACTGTTATAGTCTGTGTGGTTTCACACCCAACAAATGTCAAAGCAGAACTTAGCTCCAACAGCCAAGTTTCATCTATGTTTGGTTTAATCCATAAAAGAACCCACCAAATTCCACATCAGCCATTTCAGACTTGCAAGAAACCACCCAGCTTCAGTGAACGGGTCAAGAATCTGGTAAGTATTTTGGCAAATATGGCTTGAACAGTGGCTCAAGAAAACCCTGGTTTTTCCATCTTTGTAGAGACTGACCAGCCTGGTAGCTTATCCATCCTAATGACAAATACTTTCTGTTCCTTGTAGCTCTTACTTTACATAGAAGCATTGAAGCTGAAAGCACAACTACAACTTGTCCTCTGTAGTTATTTGAACAGCCCTCACTTCCAAAGTTTTGGAGAATGAAAGGAGTCTCTCTGGTGAAGAGGATTGTTACCCACAAACACAGTGGTGAAGATGATGAGGCAGCACAAGATCCTCAGCTTGAAGAGGAGAGCAGAAGTGGTGAAAGCCTTTTCACTGGAAAGCTTTGTGATGACACCACTCTGGTACAACCCTCCAGAGCAGCCCTTCTCAGGCCACAAGGGATCTCACAGAAGGTAAGACAACTCACATATCTAAGGTAAGGGCATGCCTGCAAGCTTTGGCAGATGAAAACAGAGCATGAACAAGTACAGAATGCTTGGCAGATGTGTATTTTCTGACAGCAATGTGATTCTGGTTAAAAACTGAAAGCAAACAAACATAACAGCAACCAAGGAAGATCAGACCATGCTTCTAACAGTCAATACAAGTGACTAGATTTTTTTTTTTCTGGTTCATTTAAATTTGACAATTTAGAATAGAAGTCAAAAGTTAGGTTAGTTCCTGAATATGATGCCTTGAGAATGTAATGTAAAGCTCACAGAATATGACAGACCCCCTACAAATGTAAGTCAACTGCCCAGTGCCAGTGGATTTATTCCCTAAGAACATTTTACAGCTGAACCACTGTGTCCTTAAAACATTCAGACCTCACCTAGACTCTCAGATTTTGATGTTCTTTCAAAAAATATCCAGTTCTCTTGTTGATCCTGACATACTTCAGTTTTTGGCATTCATTTCACAAGGGTGTCAGAAAAAACCCCTGACGCCTTGACCACCACTAACAACCAAAGCACCATGTGAGTCAACACCTCAGCACAGATGAAATTAAATGTTAAGCCTTTTTCCATACAGTTTTAATGAGATCTTACGTCTGACCACACTCAGCTGTATTAGTTGAAGGAAGCACAAGATTCACCCAAACCATTGAATGCAAGAGGTATCGCCCAAAGAAAAATGGGACACAAGAAAAATAGGCTCCAACCCCACTGAGAAGCTGTATGTTATTACTTTGAGTGCCCTTGAGAGAGCCACACAATACAACAAGTTATCCCAACCCAGAGCACACACAGGAGAGTGGGCAGCCCTTGGGAGAGAGAGAAAAGGTCAGGAGTAAGTTCAGGATATCCAGCTAGGTGATGAAGAAAATAGTGACCTCAGTGCTGGAAAAAGATTTACATAATCTCCCCTGTGAAATAATATCAGACATAGGGTAAGTGAAAAGGTACTGATTTAACTTCTGCCAGCTAGCAGCTTGTCAGGCCAAGGCCATGTATTATTTTCTTTGAATATGTTTCCTGCCTCAAATCACTTGCAGTATTTTCTTTGCAGTATGATAGCAGCACTAAAATGTATTATTGCCACATATTGGAAGGCCAGTGTTGTATGCACAGTACCTCCATCGATTATTTGGAACTCTCCCATTGCTTAAGCTTCTGGGAAGTCTGCAGAGGGATTTTTCTGAGCTGCTTTTAGTTAATTTTTGATTGGCCATAATATACACCACGACAACATGTACCAAGACAACAGTTGGAAACACTGTTTTCATGGGCTGTAACCTTGGGTGGCTGTGCAGGCGCTGAGGCCATTGCTGGGTCTGAAGTGGCACAGATATGATCTACAGATCCCTGGAGATTCCATGTCTCCTGCCACTTACTTTTCACGGAATGGAAACACACAATTGCTCTGGAAGCATCGCTGTTGAACTCTGAGGGTTATAAACCTTGGCAGGACCGTAGCAAGACAGGTGAGAGAAAACCATCCCAAACAGGTCCCTACAGTAGCAGAGACACCCTTACCTACTCGAAGCTCTTGTCCAAAGACTGTTTTCTCTCCCAGCGCAGAGCAGTTCCACCTCCCGTAGCGGAACTGGTACTGGCACTCATTGATTCCCATCTGTGCCCCTTCCCCGATCACAATGATGGCATCGGGGCGGCTCTGGCAGATCGCTCGCTGCCGAGGGGCCAGGCCTGGGATTTTGTTGCAGATTATATTAGCTCCTAAAGCCACCACGGATGACAAAGCTCTGAGGAAAAAAGCAGAAAGACACATTATAACCAAGCTGAGGTGAGCAGGTGTTGCTGTGTGCCTGGTGAGGTGCTGTGCAAAAGGGGAAGGGTCCGAGGTTGAGTTCCTTAATTATGCCGACTTGGCACAGTGTCTCTGGTCTGGTATAGCAGCCTGGGAATCTTACAGTAATTCCTGATCTGGTTTATGCCAGAAGAAACAAAGAAATTGAATTTTGGCACTTTTGTTTCCAGTCCTACGCAGAGACATCAGCTTGTGAGATGTGGAAAGAAAGACTAGTTTAAAATCGAAATATAGTGAAAAGTGATCATCCACAAAATCTCTGAAACTCATGTCTACTTTGAATGTAGGTTCAGAATTAGTGCTTTAGTTACTGCAGCCAGTTCATTCACCCCTCATTTGAAACCGTTAAGCACGATTTAGAAAATGACACTACCAACATGCTTGCCCATTATTGTGCTCAAAATATTGAATGATTAATTAAGTCCATTAGCATAACTGTGCTTTTAGATCTGGCAAACATCATGGAGCATATAGGAGTTATCCTTATTATGTGCTATCCAGGCTAGAAACATTTGCAGTTCTCATTCTTCAAGTATATTTTCAGAATTCATTATAAAGTTTGCATATTAATTGCACCTGCCATATGTTTTCACTTCAGCACATTTATTTTTCATTTTTCAGCTCACTTTTCAACATCTTCACAGGCTCATTTTCAACATCTCTACAGTCTACATTTTAAATGGTAATATTTTGAAAAAAATAGGAGAACATGGGTTCAATGATGCCTCTGGTCACATCTGCTGAGTACCCGCCAGGCCCGTGGAGATGCTTCAGCTTGCTCTGGACGAGCAGACTGACTGCCCCATGATCCTACTTCCCACCTTCAGCACCAGCCTAGGCCTTTCATCTTAGTGTTAAAAATTTCCCACTGGAAGTGCTCCCTTGGGGAAATGGTGACTAAACAAAATTAAAGAATTATATAAGAATTGGTCAACTTCATCACGAGGTAACTGCAAAATTGCATAAATGCCACATTGCAATGAAATCAGAGTGTTTAATTTTGCCATTTCAATAAGACACAGTAAAGCCAGAGCAAGGAGGGTGAAATTGAGAGCTCTTCCCTGGCTAAAATGAAATACTGGTATTCCTGTGGGATGGAAATTCCATGATGATCCACCCTGCCTTTAGTAGGTATTTTTGCATCTTTTCCTAAGTTAACAATCCATGAGAAATTCTTCATTGTGGGTTTTTATTTATGGAGGCAGAGGTGGGTTATGGATATAGAAATAAAGTGTCATCCAGCACATGCATCCCCTGTTGTTCTGCCTATTAAACAGAAGTAAAACAAAAGGTAGTTGCAGTCTGACCACTCCCAGTGTTGGAGCAGGAGTGCTCAGACCTGCAGCTTTAATTTGTGTTCCTCTGGATGCTGAGCAACAAAGCTGGAGCATCACCTGGAACCAGAGTGTCCCTGAGATTCATGCAGGTTTTGAGCTAATAGGTTTTTTTCTGACAAAAAGTATTTCTCCTCTTTAAAATAAAAATAAAATGAAATAAAATAGCAATGTCTTTAAATTAGGACTTCCCTGGAGATGTGATAATCTTAAAAAAGTTTGATATAGGGATAAGATACAATGGCTTATGACCTTTATGTTATGGCTTCAAAAGCTAATGAAAATCACAAAGTATCAGTATTTTTTTTTTAAATCACACTTTTCAAAATTGAAAAGTAAGTGTTATTTTCTTTGAAAGGTCCTAGAGCTTTTCTCTCTCTGACTTCATCCACTTTCCACACAAAGTAGGATGGAAATTCTGAAAAAATTGCAGTAAAATACAAAGGAAAGCATTTTTCCTTAATAGATGATGTGTCAAATTCACAAACATACACTCTCTGATGACACTAAAATGCTGTGCCCCGTTCTTGCCCTACCCTCCACCTGGCTTTGCCCAGTTCCCTGGGACAGATCAGGTGCCCAGGCTTCCTGCAGGACCTTCCCACCTGGTAACCAATTTCCACTGCTGCTTCAGACACTGCCCCTTCCAGGAAAATCTAGCCCTGAGGAAATCTGTGGTTGACTCCTAAGAAAGAGACATGCACAAGGAATTCAAACTTCCATTTGATGCTTGGCACATGCACAGGACACACAGTTCTGGTCTTGTAGCTGCCTGATGGTCATCAATTTACTGAGGCTATGCCACCAACTTACTAGCAAAACTTATGCATAAAAATTATTTGCATGTTACATAAATACTTTTTTTAAAAATTAAAAACTTGATAAAAAGTGTGCAATAACTCCCTGACATCATTTTTTTAAAACTGCTGGGCTTCCACAATTTCCACTAACTATTCTCAAGTTGAGCAGCAAAAAGCCTTACGACTTTCAAAACAAAGGAAAGCAAGAATTGGCCACAGCATCTAAACTTATAATTTTCAGTTAAGTGGCTTCCTCATACATGTCACAGCTGTCTCATAATTAGGTTTAAGAGTATATTCTTTGGTCTCCCATTGTTTTTTGGAGCAGACCTTGGTCAAAGTATTTTAATGCAGTGGGTTGGTTTATTCATCTAGAAAATAAGCACAATCATACCTGCTTCAGAACATATTGTCAGGATGTCATGTCATCATAGTTATAATTATTGTGTGCTTGTGAAGTGTATTATAACAATTAAACTGCAATTATTGGGGGTGGAAGGGGTCTTAGGTTTTCTGTTACTTCCAGAAACTTCCCCCTCTCTGGCCTGAACTTACCAGCATATTCCCTCAGACTTGTTTAGCCTAGTTTTAAATTGTTACACTGCCAAAAGAAATGCTGAATCATGAAACTGAGGTTTTGGAAAGCTTTATTTTTATTAAAGAAATGCACCCAACAGCATTTCAAGCTTCCTCTCCTCTATTTCTTGTGGCATCCCTCAGTTTGTGCATCCATCACACATTCGGGAGGGTTGTGATGTGCTCCTGCCCCTTGGCAGGTTGAAGGCTACTTTACTTTTTTTCAAAGATGAAAATTGTTTCAATTTATAGCTGTCAAAAGGCAGATCCTCCATGCCACATTTTGGCATCTTCTTTCATCTAATCTTTCTTTGTGGTGCAAATTGCCTCGATTCTTATCACCAGAAACTCCTGAGCGTGGCATTTTGTTAGGACTTCTGATGCAGTTTACAGTAATTGCAACCATCCTGCACCACAACGGTCTCCACACAGCTCAGAGTGTTCTGCTGGGTCATCCACATGGGTTATTCAATTAAACATCATCCCCATGGCTTATCCAGATAAACAGAGTGAGTGCAATAATGGCACATTTCTTAAGGAATTGGCACTAGTGTCTGGCATATGGAGAGCTTTGACATTTCTTCATGCCTATGCCATTAATCTAAGGGAAACACCAGCACTGAAACTGAGCAATGTCTATAAACAGTTATGTCCAAATTTAAAAAACAACAACAACCCACCAAAAAAAAAGAAAAAAAAAACCAACCCACAGGAAAAACCCACACAACCCAATAACAACAAACAAACAAAAACCCCACACACAAACAAACAAAAACCCCATTGGATCTGGGCTTGGATAGGACCCTGCAGTTGAAACTTCCATCAAATTAAACCTGATGAAGAAGATTTTGGAAGGCTTGGTTTCTGGTTTTTTATCATTTGAAAAAATAACTAGGACTGTGTCACAGCAAGCAGAAAATCATGGTGGTGGGAGACAAGTTTCAGCTTATTTTGTGAAATAATGCTTGTTTACTTATGCAAAGACAGATTAATCCTGTCACAAAAAAAGGGAATTTCTCCTTCCAAATATATTTCCTGTTACAATTGTATCTCCTCTGTAGGGCCTAAGCAACTCCAGCTTCCCTTTTCACAAAGTGAAATGAAAATTGTTAGATATTCTAAGCGAGTCATAAAAGTAAAGGTCTTTGAAATGCTTCAGAAATTAAGCACTAAGGCCACTTGAGTTTTTAGAACTGCTTTATTGGAAGTGTACTCCTCATTCCTGGTTGGTTTGCTTGAGTCTCCATTTTATATCTGCAAAAGCAAGCATTCACTTAACTCGAGCACAAGTCATTTCATTGATTTCAAATGTTATCATGTCCTTGCAACTTCTGATTAATTTTACATATAAGAAGGTCTTCATGTGAACTGCAGTTTGCAGAGTCTTTGCACGACTGGAAAATATATAAAGTATATCTGTATAATGGACAGATGTACAAGCACATGAGAAGAAAACATTTAAATTTTCTTCCTGTTAAAAGAATCTGAATTTTGATAAAATTTTGAAACAGAGCTGTCTGCTTATAGATGAAGAACAGTAACTGACCAGTCTTTGGAATTGTCCCCAAGTTCCTGCACAGGCACAGATGTTTACTGAGATTTCTCCTAGGAACTTAATATCCCATTCTGACAAATACATGACAAAAGATGTAAAATAAGAGATTAAACCAACAACACATTGGATACAGATTAAACACTTAATCAAGCTGATTTTAACCTTTTGGTTAAAAAAAACTAAAAAGTTGCTTTAAATATTCTCTGCCAATCTGTGTTCCCTGGAGAAATTACATTTTATTGGAGCCCAGGACTGGCATCAAGAACTTCTGCTCACCCTCCCTCACTTGCATTCCTGGCTGCACAACAGCACAAGACACACTTCCCACCGAGCCAGCACTGCAAGCTGCAAGCCCTTGGACAGGCGACTGGAGGGTCACGGTGATCCCACCCTAGCTTTGCTTTTTGACATTCACCTGAAACTGCTGTTGGGCAGGGGGGTTGTTTTCAGTGAGGAATGAAGGAATTTAGCCAAATGAACCCCATTAACAGCAGAGGAGTTGTGCAGCTTTCTGGCACAGCGTACCGAAAACTTACCCCACCATCTCTGACAAAAAGTCCCACATAGTGAGCTCTTTGTTAGCAGGAGCCACCGAGGTATTTTGTGGTGACATTGCGACACATCTGAAACCGTACACCACTACCGAATGGTTGATTTAATTAAGAATTCC